AGTAGAGCACATTTTGTTATTTCTATCGCTTGCCATGATGAATTGGTGTTAATATGTATAGCACGCATTAACCTTTTTTGTCTTGTTTCCAGACTGTTTATAGTTTCTGTTCCAATTGTTTTATTGTAGTGATTTTTGGAATGACCTATATGCAAAAACTTTACATTATTAACCGAAAAAACATGAAAGTAATGGTATTATCAAAGCGAAGTTTCCCAGTTTAACAAAATTGAAAAAGTTGGCGTACAATGATACGGTCAAGTTTTTTCCGCTTTAAATGAAGTATTTATTTTTTGCTGTTACTACCTCGTAGATAATAATTTTATTGTTCGATGGGGTTTTCAAAATCTTTTTTTGAAACCGTTGTTCCGCTTGATAACAATTATTTTCTGAAGCAAGTTGTTCTATAATTTCGCAGCTCCACCAGAATGTTTTTTTTAAAAATCAGACTTGCGTACTTAACAGAATTACCTCAAAACTTTAGAGCAAATGATTTACGAAGTATTCACAAATTTTTACGAATTTATAATTGTCTTTTTTTGGTTTTCAAGCGATGCTAGTTCTGCATTTTCAAAGCAGTCAAATTAAGATAGCAATAGATTGTCTTGTTTGTTTTGAGTTTTGTGATGGCAGACTCCAAATGTGGTCGTGTTAGATTATTTCACATGTTTTTAAACAAAAGCTACGGATTTTTGCCTGAAAACTTATTTATTATAACTTCCAAAAAAAATTTTCTTTTGAATTTTTTTGTTGATACGCGTTTCAAGTGTCAACTTAACCTCTAATTCATTGTATTTAAGTTTTTGATATTTGATATTTTGTATTGAGGTAGGTCTTCGAGAATCCAGACTAGATTTGGTTGTAAGTTCTTTGCGGTCTTCGTTTGTTTTCGCCCTGGCTTCATTTTCACTTTTTTGTTCTTCACTTACTGATTTTAAAAAAGTCTAATTGATATTAGTTGTCTAATGTTTTTACTTGCGTGTAACTGACTATTGCAAAGACGGTCTTTTCAAAAAGCTTAGAGAGGGTTAGACAAGCTACATTTATAATTGGGATACAAATTTTGGTGCCAAAAAGTAGCGGCTCACTTTGTCGCTTATTAAAAATTATTTAGAAAAATTGCAGCAATTGAATACGTTTCGTTAAGTTCTGTTTTTGTGTTAGAAACTCATGTATCAAATATAAGTTTACCAGAAAATTTAACTTGGGTAAACCAAGGAAAAAATAAAACATCTGGAAAAAAAATTTTTCTTCCTTTGAATCAAGTATGCTTCAGCTCAATAAACTTCATTGGTTCTTAATAAAAGCTCAGGAAAGAGTGCGTAAAAAGAATAGTTTAAAAAATTTTTTGTCTAGAATAATTTTTTTGACACTGTTCTACATAGCCACACAGAGGACTCAAGTGAATATCTGAAAAAGTCGGTATCAAGGGATTAAATATTTTCTTGTATTTTTTACGACCGTTTATTATGTGAACGAACTTTGTATTGACGTATTTTGTAGTTTTGCATTTTTTTGCTTTCCAATCAAAATCAGGTACCACGAATTATTATCGGAACGGACCAAATGTTTAACCATTTTAAAACCTTTTCATTCAATTTGAACGAAATAAAATATTTTCAAAAAAGGTCGAGTATCCAGAGAAACCGTAAGAGACTGGAAGTTATTGAGCGTTAGTCTTGTTTTGGGTGACTAATGCGATCGAGCAAAGTATCGTGTGTCATGTAAAAATTGTCTCGTTACTACCACTTGTTGTCTTGCTACTACTACTAGATATCAATTTGGGTAGTTCTCTGAGGTCTTCTAAATCTCAATAGGTTAAAAATTGTTTCTTGAGGCAAGTTGTTCAATAGTTGTGGATCTCCGCCTGAATGAAAATGTTTTCCTTGTTCAAAGTTATTTTTTTAAAGAAACTATCTCGAAGTTTGAGAATGAATATCCGAAGTTCGCCATCCAAGGTTGTCTGTTGTTCTGCTTTAAACTTTTTATGGTTCCAAGTATGGTCTTCTTTGGCAATTTTAGATGTTTCTAAACAAAAGCTAAGGAAACTTCCTTTATAAATATTTTAATATTGCAAAAAGGATTTCGCTTTTAAAATTTTTTATTGGTATGCGTTTCAACTGTCAGCTCAGCCTCTAATCCAATATATAAAATTTTTGAAATTTTCAAATTAGTGAGTTTCTAAATATCAATTTTAAAAACTTAATCCCGTCTCACTTTTCAATATCCAATTTTGATCAGCACAAATTTGTCAAATTCGAAAGCTTGGTAGCTTTTTCAACCAATTTCTTATTGTTTCGTATCCTTTTATGTACCCAATGAGTCTGAAATTTCTCAAAATCAACAGTAGAGTCTAGTGTCGTCAAGAAATAGCTTGTTGCTATTGCGTTTGGCATCGAATATTAGATCACGAGGAGCACATAACGTAATCGAGAAGAGGACATATTGTCCGCTTACCATGAATATTTTTGTTGTGATTTACAACAGAGTTGCCATCCACACAAAGATTTAATCTATCTCAAACATTGCGAAAGGTTCTCTACTGGCAGAAGTACCAGTATCAGTTGTCTTTTTGAGCACAAAATCGAAAGATCCATCAACTGTTCCAAAATTCTCTAGTGGCAGAAGTACTAGTATCAGTAGTCTTTTTTGAAAATTAAACCATTTTCAAGACGTTGTCTTTGTGTAAAGAAAAACCATAAATGTCTTGAAGTTTTGAGCGTTAGTCTAATTGCAAGCAAGTAACGCGATCGAGCCAACTAACCTGCATTAAATGAAAGTTGATTACTAAAGCTGAGAAAAAAAAAGTTGGTTATAAAATAACAATTTGGAAGCATTATTTAGCGCTTCCTTGGCAGTAAAAATTTTACAATTATTGTGCAAAAAGTTTAGAAATTTATGAATTTTTCTGCAAGTTTTTTTTTGCTTTTTTTCATTTTTTGATAATAATTGTTGTTGATTATGCCTACGCGTTTAATATTTTTAAAGTTCACTCCCCACAATGCTCAAAAAACGATACTAAAACTCAAACTAATTTTTTTTGTAGTTTTGATGTGAATGAGGTGGGAAGATTTAAGTCGGAGTAATAAACCTAATAAAGTAGAGGACATTTTGTTCATTCGACCGCTTGCCATGAGGATTTAATGTTGTTTTTTACAGAGTTGGCAAATTAATTGTTATTTTTGAAAAAAGAACTAGCAGTTGACTATTGAAAAAAAAAACATGTTATATATGTTAAATTTATTATTAATTCAACAAATTAAGAAGCATGAAGATTTTTGAAAAGAAATGCCAGTTTTTCAGTTTTCTCGACGCTAAGTTGGGCTCTGAGATTCCCATACGTGAACACATCACATTGAAGAATTCCGAAAATAATTTTTAAAAAATCCAGAGCTGAAAAAATTTATCACTCTTCAAAATTCATATAAACCTCCCTCCCCACAGCGGAAAGATATTCAATATGAAAAATAGTTATATGCGGAATGTTTTCCCCAGAAAACCCCACTTTCTAAAAAATAGCTAACATCACTGTTAGAATACATAGATAACATTGTAAGTTAAATTAAATGTCAAATAACAATTTTAAATAACTTCACAGCCCTGATTTACAACCCGCAGTTTCCGTGTACACACAAAGATTTCGTCTAGTCTCAAATTTTGCGAAAGTTTCTCTACCGACTTTGAAGTCCCTGTAGTCTTTTTTAGCACAAAATCAAAAATTATGTTGAAATCTAGCTGTATTACATCGAAAATTGTTTGCTTGTCCAGTGCAATAGTCAAGTCGTCTGATATTCTCAGCAATTGATATTTGAGCAATGTATTGAACTGAATCAACAGTGAGCATGTAATTAATCCAAGCTGATTGAAAAGATCCATCAACTGCTCCCAATTCTTTTTCCATCAGTTTACCACAGACTTATGTTAAGCTGATAGACTTGTAATTATTCTTTTTTCATTATTTTAGTTTTTTGAATCTCGCGAATTTATTAGATACATTTCAATCCTAGCGAAGCAACCGGCTATTGTTTTGTGATTTGAAAATTTACATAAACTTTACAGGGAAACTAAAACAAAAAAACAAACCAAGTGGCAAGAGCATTTGAACACACTGATGTCGTTGTCTAAATCAATATATCAAAATAATAATCAAGCAATAAGAAGACTTGCGTGTTAATTAACTTTTTTTGGTTATACAGGCATATATTGCGGTCCAAACTGGCAAACAATTGTGCATAATATTTTAAGAATTTGCAAAAATTGTAACTATAAAAATCAGAAGTCCAACAACTTAAAAAAAGCTTTTGCTTAGTAATTTTGTTCAGCTGGCATGACATTAACAGATAAATGCAAAAGGTAAGTGGTTTTCCCATTCTGTGGGGCTGCTGGCTTAGTTTGTAACAAACCCCTCACCTAAAAAAATTGTCCACAAATGGTTCGAATGAACAATCGAGAATTAGATTAAATCGTCTGATAATAGGATCTATCAGTTAACCAATAAAATTGACCTTTGACGTTGCTTGTAGTAATATTTCTTCAGAAGTCATATAAACTTAAGAATCAACAGAGTGCAAATACTTTTTGCATTTTTTTAGTATGCTGGAGAAAAAAAGCGCAACTAGATAAAAATGTTACTGTATGAGGAAAAAGAAATAGAAAAAAGTAATAAATAAGCAGTACCAGTAGAAATTATTTGGAACTTTTTAAAAAGAACGTTTTTTTTCCATTGCATCAAAACTGAAGTTCACACTGGTATAATCAGGCGAGTAAAATTCAAAAATTTCTATCTTATGCAGTCTTTTAACAGCTTAGCACTCCAAACATATTGCAATTTAGTTAAATGAAACAGTTTTAGTGCAATCAAAATATCATGTTCAAATTGTATGTTTTAGGCGCCACATAAAAATGGGTTTACACTCATGAAATTGAAATTGAAAGTCTATTGTTTTCGTTGTATATTTCTGTGCTTTTTTCTCCAGTATAGTTTAGTTGGAATCATCGCAATGCAGACAAGAAAGAAACAGTCGGTTAATGACGATGACCCGAACCGGGTGGCCGAAGAAATCGCCGAGGTGCTGGCCAAAATTCAACTTCTCGAAGGCGACCGGAAAGCTTTTGCTGAGTCATCTCACTATACGGTTAGGGCTAATGATGCCAAAATAGGGTCTTTGCGCCTGGAAAACCGAGATTTACTGAAGAGTTATAAGAAATGTATCACTTGTGACGATGATACCTTGAACATTGTTTTTCCCGGTCATGATGTTGGCAAACAGCAATTTGTTGGTAAACGTCCCGATATTACCATAAATGGACTGAACAACAAAAAGTGCGATCAAGTTAAAAAACTAAATCTGGCTCAATATCAGACTAGAGTTAAAGAAAAGGAACTCGTTGAGAAGATTGAAAGAATGAAAAGTATTCACGCATTTGCAGAACGAATGAGTAAAGCTTATATGGATCCAAAATCACAGAAAACTAAAAATCGGGCAATTTTGACCGAAATTGAGAAATATAAACTGAAAAACACAGAAGCCGACGAGGTTCAAAATATTTTCTCGAAACTCACACGAAGGTTGAAGGAGGAAAATAAAATGTACGAATCGAATTTGGAAATGTTAGAAAACGCAATTTTTGAAAATGAAGACGACCTTAAAGGGTTAAAAGATATGAACAAAGACGCCGAACATTCAAAAGAACTGGCTAAACAAGATTTACAAATGCAAGAAGGGCAAATAAATAAAGACAAAACGCAGAGAGAAAAACGAAAATCGGAAATAAAACGAGTGAGCGATTTCAGGCAAAAAGAGCTCGAAAGGTTAAATAGTTTCGTGAAAGATCAAGACGATCCGAAAGAGTCGGAATACTACGACGGGATCACAATAGCTCAACAGGAAGAAAAACAGGCGAAAGCTGACAATGCTGAACGAAAAATAACCCAAGTTGAAAAGTCGACTCAGAAAGTAAAAGACGCCACAGGTTTAAATTCCCCTGCGGACGCGATTCGATATTTCAAAGAACAATTCGCGACGAAGGATAACTTAGAATCTCAAATTGACCAAAATGCCGAACAAATCGCAGATTTAGAGAGGAAGAAACAACTCTTAAAAGAAAGTTACGATGATGTTAAGTACAATGGTGAAGTCGACGAAGGCACGCATAAGGAAAGCGATTCGTTTTATGCCGAGTCATCGCACCGAGAAGATTATTACGACGAATATGAAGAAGAATTAGACGAAGTTCGGATGTCGGTTGCTCAAAATAAATTAAATGATGCTCGACAAACTTTGACCGATTTGAAAATAGCCTTAGACCATGTTTTAGGCAAACTGTCATTTTTGAAAAGTTTAAAACGTCCTAGACCTTCTTTATGGGAACAAAAGCAGGAACAGGAGTATCTGGTTGATGTAGCTGACATATGTATTGACAAAATCAAATTGTTGGTAGCTCAAATCGGCGAAGATACGGACACGAGAGAAGTTATGAGGGAAATCGACGAGTCTGATTTCGGTCACGTGGTTCAAAATAAAATGAGCTCTGCTAATGCACGAGTTAGTACACGAGGCATGAAGAACAGCAACCAGTTTGAAGAAGATGAAGATGAGATAATTGAGTCGGAGGAGGAAGACATTGTTACTCGCAATCAGGTGAAGAGAGCGTCCAAGGCTCTGATTGACTCGAAAATGCACAGAGGGGGCAACAGGAAAGCATCCATGAAGTTCAGATGATAACGAAAGTTAAAAGCAAATACTACGAAAGTTAAATAGCATATATTGCCCATAATCGGCTTTAATAATGAATGTATATCTGAAAGTTTAAAGAACGGTCGTGCGAATAATCTAATTATTGAAGTTTTTAAGAGAAAGATAACTCAATTTTTATTTCAAATTAAATGATTTAATTTTAAAAATTATTTAAAATGTCAACAGAAAAAAAAGCACTTGCCCTGTAGCTACTGTACCGAGTTCAACTTGGTTCATCCGTGATTCTCATCAGAACTAGGCTCCATCGCAACAGCAGGAAAACAAGAAATCGACCATCTGAACTGGCAACATAAATCTGAAATTTTCAATCATTAAGTTCTTGCTATTGTCCACCAAAAGGCTGTCGTAGATATTATAAAATATATATAATGCGGAAACTGTATTATGAAAATTTAAGCCAGTGTGGAGTTGAGGCGGTCAATTTATGTATTGACACGCATAGGCTGACCAAATTTCCGTTTTTTTTCTCACAAAAGTGATTTAGATCGATCAAAAATTTCAGTAGACGAGAGTCAATACAAGCCTACCAAGATCGATACACAAGCGGACCAGCTTTAGAAACATCAATTAATTTCCAAAAATTCTCGACGCCCAAGTTGCTTTAAGAAAAACCTCAAAACTGGAGAAGCCTTATTTACCACAAAACAAAAGTTTATATAAAATCCGTCAAAATAGTCCGTAATCACAAAAAACCGTCAATGATCCAAATAAGTCGTCAACTCAAAACATTGTGCTCAAATCGGCGCCGAAATAAACTAATTTTGAGGGGGTAGCGCCAAAACTTTCCAAAATGTGCATGAAAACGCCTTTTTTGGTCTGTAAAGGGGGTAGCGTCTTTGAGGGGGTAGCGTCAAAACTTTCCAAAATGTGCATGAAAACGCCTTTTTTGGTCTGTTTTTTTTTATAATTTACCTGTGGCGCAAAAAAATTCGTCAAAATGGGGTCTTATTAGTTATTTGGGAGAGCTCAGAATATCAATTTGGTCGACCTAAAAAAAGTCGCTAAATTTTTGAATTTTTTTTCAAATGCAGAGAGAAAATATTAGATCCGCCCCTAATCACAGTTAAATAATCTTTTTAGGATTGAGCTTACGACAAGGATATAGTTCAGATGTGGTACAAACATGAATTGTCAACGAAATTTAATTGCCAGTAAAAGTTTACGAAAAATTGAGTGAATACAAAAACGCCGAAAGCAGAAATATTTTCCCTTTTTTATGAAAATCATTTATTAAAGAAACTCGAGGAAAAAATGTCAAAATAGGATACTATTAGACACGTTTTGTCTAAGATAAGTCCACCACTTCAACCTAGCGCTATTAGTTACACAAACGGGGTTCAGCTGCAGCAACGGTCAACTTATCCTTCAGAAAAATTGTCTAACTAAACCAAAACTCCGTGAAATATTTTCTAGCAAGTATTACACCCAAATGCCTGAGATTAGGCCCGAAATTATTACATTATAGGCAGTTTTTTGGGCTTTTGAGAATGAACCGAAAAACTTCTTAGCTCTTCATGTATTTGCGAGAAAGGACATTTTTTGGTTTTTTATAGTCAAATAATGTAACCTGACTGATTTGATTGACCAACAATACTTTCTGGATCAACGCTTTGATTAAACAACAACACTTCGCTGCGCTTACAATGATTATAACAAGCGTGTGATGATCTCTTACCAGACCAACCTTTCGCCAGAAGCGGGTAGTGTCCAACTGGTTAAACATCCAGCCTCACTAAAGCAAGTTCAACATATGCTTCTTGATCGCCAATGCAATGCAGAAAAAAGCCACCAAATGAGCCCTGTTATTTGCGATCTGGGTAAGGAAAATTAAGTTTCATTTTATGACACTGCACTTGTTAGCTATGCTTGTGAATTCAAACCTTCATTAACCAAATTGAAGTTATTGAGCCAAAGATGCCTTCAAAACAGTTTTACGAGACTGTTAGCAGCCTCTTTTTTTTGGGAGGGTAATTTATACAAAAAGTAAAAAGGGTAGAAAGTGTAAGAAAACAATATATGGGTCAAAACACATTCTTTCGAAGGGTAAAATATGGGTCAAAACTCACTCTTTCGAAGGCTTTAGAAACTGGGGTGAGGTAAAAAGAGACTAGAAAAATATGCAGGCACACAGGGTAGTGGGCGGACTTCTCATTGCTACCATTTTTGCTAAAAAAAAATTGTTAGAGGATTTTTTGAAAAACTAATTTTTTTGAGAAAGTGAAAAATTTTTCCAAAGCCTATAAAAAATAATGAAATAATTAAAAAAAAACTATCACAAAAATTTTCATAATATCTGTTTTTATTAAACAGGATTTTGTTGCAAATCTTACAATCAAATCTTACAACTTGATAACTTTATAGTTTATTGTTGTGCTGCGGGATGAAATTGGTAATTCACCCAGAACCTAGTTATTGCTTTCAAACATGAGTGAAATTTTGGTAGTTTTAGAATTTTCACAGAGAAACAATTTTTTTTGAACATCTTAAAAGGCGTAGTATCTTATGAACGGAAGCTCCCCACAACCTGTTGCCTCGATTAAACCCTTGATATAAGATTGAGTTGCGTTCGCGAGGAGTCAAATGTTTCAAAAAAACGGACAAGAAATCAAAACATTTACTTTTCCCAGTGTCATAAATTAGTGTGTGATAAAAATTGGCAGCCATCGTTTATTTGATGGGTTTCCCACGTCCCGTTCTACTTATTGAAACCAAGATCTCAGATTTGGGAGAGTAGTTTCCGACAAAAATCAAAAAAATTTCAAAAAACAGGAAAAATCGACTTTTCCAAGAGCCATTACTTTTTGGTTAGAAGAGATCAGGCGTAGCCGCTGATGCTGGGGAGCGTATCACAATCCGTATTATTGATTAAAATCAAAAACTCAGATTCTGGAGGGTAGTTTTTGAGAAAAGTCAAGAAGTCTCACAAAGCGATCAAAAATTCGAAAAATTGAGTTTTCCGAGTCAGAATTTTTTGCGTGAAACAATTTGGGCGTAACCGCTCATGCAAAAGAGCTTTCCACAATCTGTTTTATCGATTGAAACCAAAATATCATACTAAGGAGTGTAATTTTTGAGAAAGGTCAAAAAGACTCACAGAACATGAGAAAAATCGAAAATTCGACTTTTCCGAGAGCCATTACTTTTTGTGTAGAAAAAACTGGGCGCAGCCACTAATGTTGGGGAGTTAATCACAATCCGTGTTTTTGATTGAAACAATTAACTGAGATTCTGGAGAGTAGTTTTTGAGAAAATTCAAGAAGTCTCACAAAACGGTCAAAAATTGACTTTTCCGAGGGTCATAATATTATGTATGAAAATTTGGGCGTAACCGCTTACGCATGGGAACTTAACACAACCTGTTCTATCCGTTGAATCTGGAATCTCAGATGCGGGAGGGTGGTTATTCAGCCAAGTCAAAACGTTTCAAAAACCGGTCAAAAAATCGGAAATTTTACTGTTCTGATGGCCATAACTTTTTGTGCGAAAAAGGTTGAGCGTAACCGCTTATACAGTTGAACTTCTTACAAACGTTTCTATCTATTTAAATCAACGTCACAATTTTGAAAGGGTATTTCTGAAGTAAAGTTAAGAGCCTAGAAGATTACGCAGGCACACAGCAGTGTGGGCGGACTTCCCGTTGGTTTTATTTTTTTTTTATAATTGATAGCGTAGTTTCTGAGAAATACTGAATTTTTGAAAAAGTAAAAAATCCAAAGAGTCTCAAAAAAAATCAATAAAAATACCCGGTCCCAATAAATTTTTCAAAGTCTCTGTTTTTATCAAACAGAAACTTTTATTATATTGGGAATTTTCCAACCACCCTATTTTTGTTCAAAAATTTACTGGTGAATCACCGTTGCAAGTTTCTAGCTGCGTACGTCAATACCTCTCAGGTGGTACAAAAATTACGTCAAAAAAGCTAGTTCTGAGGAAAAAACCCGAGCAAAAATATTTGTCATTTTCTTAAGAAATCGGAGCAAAAAGTACTGAAAATTATATTTAACTATTGTAGTGAATAATTGGTACCAATGAATTTGCCTAAATCAGTTTGTAAGGATTACTTGAAGGCGTTGACATTGGATTTAATAGCAAAAAACGTACAAAACCTTTTTTATGGCTCTGACGTACAACGCAAAAAAGACACCACTCTTTTGACACAATTTTCTGCACCGCAGGCAAAATAATGGGAAAAAAAACGACAAAAAGACGTGATAAGGCACATTTTGAAAAATTTGGTCCCAAAAATAGCGTCTCCCCCATCAAGATTGGTACATACTGGCGGGAAAGAAGCGGATATATCAATTTAAGGGCCCTGCATGTAATCAAAAAAAAATTCTTTGGAGCAAAAGGAAAGTCATTGTTTTTTTGAACAGTTCATGGACTTTTAAATGACCAATCGAGAGTGTTTAAATTTACACTCTGACATTACATACATTTCAAAATCAATTAAAGAAAAAGATTTACAAGAGATTTTTTAAGAAACAAATTTTATCTTAATATTACATATGAACAATGTGCAAAACCTTTTATCCAAATATGCCCACTATAATTGAAAACTTGAAAAAAATCTGTACAAAAATTTTAATAAACACATTATCTAAAGTTTTCGCTATTACGATAAGGTCAATATGCTGTCAGATTTTCACTTCAACAAGCTTCTTCCAGGTAATTTGGATTTTCTTCAGCTTTAGCTTCGATGTGAAATCGATATTTGTCATCGTCATAAAAGGGCTTCTCGTAGATGCCTGTAGGAAGGGCTGCCTCTTTCGACAGAAACTGAGCGCTCGATTTTTGTTTTTTTTTATGGTCTGCCTGCCTGCCATTTATGGTGCCGCAATTCACAACACAGCGGACAACAACCACACTCCGAAAAAATAGCTGCAGAGAAAAATCAAAAACAAAGAGCCGAAGAAACTCCTGTTAGCGAAACTTCCAGCCGCACTTAGCATCACAATGCCGAGAAC